TTTGAACTGTTCTTTTGTTTTTTTAATCATTCATTTTACTGGGGGCTCTTACAGCTCTTATAACAATCCATATATCAATTGTATCAAGCGTACTTGTACATATATTGCCATCATCATTTCCAAAACATTTTCTACTTGAGTCCTTGGTATCAGCTCCTGTTTTCCCCCTTCCCACCCTCGTGAACCCTTGATAAATTGATAAATTATTTTTGTTTTCATATTACACACCATCCACTGTCTCCCTTCACCCACATTTCTACTGTTCATCCCCCTGGGGCAGGAGGGTGGAGGGGGGCGCGTTGTACATCAGTTGTTATGATCGGTTCCCCCTTTCTCCCCCACCTTCCTTCTACCCTCATGGCATCGCTACTCTCATTATTGGACCTGAGGGGGTTATCTGTCCCAGATTCCGTGTGTGAAGAGCTCTTATCTCTGTACTATTTAACTTCTTCCCACAAACTTTTCCAAGTCTTGATAGCTGGTGAGCATTGGCCGGGTCATGACAGGGACACGGTTCTGGCAGTGGCTCTGTATTTAGGGGTCATCCAGGTTCTCTGGGTGGGGCAAGGGGTTTCCGCTCACCTACTAATTGGAAGGTTGGTGGTTTGACACCCCTGTCCTGCAGCCCTGGTACGACGGAAGAAAGGCCTAGAAGTGGGGCCCGTGAAGACCACACATGGGGCCTGGTCACCTGGAGTGAGTCAGTATTCGGCCGCTATTGTGTCATTTACCATTGGTTGATTTGAGCATCAGCACAGACTACAGACTCGCCCCCATTTCAGCACAGCAACCCTTCCTCCCTGGCCCAGGTTTGGCCCTGCCTGGATCAGCCAGGAAAGGGGACGTGGAGCCTGCGTGCCCTGAGACACACACACTCTCTGGCTCCAATTTAGAGGTGTCCCCTCAGACCTTGTTTCCTGAGCACAGAGTAAACTGTGAGGGACCGAAAAAGGAAAGGTGGGGGCGGAACCTGGCCCTTCTATTGAGGGAACAGAGGTGTTTTCCCGTACCCTGCTGTGGTCACCTGCCCTGCCACTGGAAGGCCCGTTCCTCCCCAGGCTCCACTGTCTCCTGTGTGTGTGCTCGTGAGTTCTGTGATGGCCCCTGCTCAGTTCCTCTCCCTCTTCCCTGAGTAGCCATCGGGTCTCCCCAAGGTCTTAGCCATGTCTCTCTCCACACTGTGTGCTCTCAGTGGCCCCCTCCGTGACGTGCCGGCACCATCCTGTCAGCTCACCCCTTTTGGTTGTTTAGTCCAGAGTGTGACAGCCCCGGTCCCGTGGCGGCATTGGCTCCTTCCATGGATGCCGGGGGGGGGGGGGGGGGGGGGGGGGGGTGTAAGTTACTGGACTGGTTGTATGTTGACCCAATGCCCCCCAGCCCAGAATTGATAACACTCTAGGGGCCAGAGCACCCAAACTGACCATAGGCTGGGGCGGTGCCTGCCTCCACAGGCTCAGATTCTCCTGTGGACATGGCAGCCTAGCGCTAGCAGGTCCCACCTCAGCCCGGAGCAAGAGACTGCCCCGAGCAAGGTCAGTTTCAACTCCAGCTCCTGTGATGATGGTGGTGTCTTAGAACGTTACACACTTGGGGACTCCCAGGGTATTACCTGCCCACCTAGACAAAATATTGACCACAAGGCTGCACGGAGGTAGGGAGACCAGTCCAGGGGCCTTAGGCACTTGAGGGGGGGGACAGGAGCCCACGGCCTAGAGGACTGGGCCACCATGCGGAGCTGCACACATTGCCCCGCTATCTGCCCGCCACGATGGGACTTGATGTGTGTCTTCTTTGGATGCCCCTTGCTCCTCTGTTAAGCCCCCAGGCCCTCCCCCGCAGCCCCGCCCCAGGACTGCGCCCAGTGCCTGGTCAGCGCGTGCTCAGTTTCTTGCTGAACAAGCACTTGATTCATCTTGTAGACTTTGTTTCCCTTGTTTCTGCTTCTCCATCTCTTGTGTTTTTTTCCTTTTCCTCCTGTTGTTCCTTTCTCACTTTTTATGCTTTTTGTCCTCTGCTTGTTTGTTTTTGTTTCGTCCTTTATTTCACCTTCTCCCTGTCCCTCTCCACTTCCAATTTCCTCCTCCTCCTCTCTTTCTTCCTCCCTTTTTGTGTCTCCGTTTCCTCCTCCTCCTCCTTGTTTGGTCCTTTTCGAAGTTGAGCCCAGTGGCGGGACTCCGCGGCGTAGACCTCTCTCCTTCTGCCCTTGCTGTGTCCATGAAGGTAACGTAACTCCACCCCACGTCCTCCCCACTGCCTCTGAGGGGCTTGTAGCAACATGAGTCACACAGGGACCCGAAACCCAGCGGTTCCTCTTGCTCTTTATCCCTCAACACCTGACAACCCTGTTACAAAAAGCACATGTCTGTGGCAGTTTCTTACAAGGTACAGTATCCCTGTGACTGGCGGAGGGGAGGCCTGGGAGCAGAGCGAAGCAGGCCTACAGGGATGGCAGAGGGATGGGACTGGGCTTTGGCAGAGCTTCCTACACGATCGCCCTGCCTTGTGTGGAGGCCTTTATGCCTCAGATCCAACACCAGCTAGAGGGGCCAGGGGCACAGGGGAGGACGCTCCTGCCTGTGCAGCAGTCATTGTCCGGGCGGAGTCAAGGAATACTGTCCTTAGGAAGACTGGGCTACACAAGCGCCTCCGAGTTCTTGTACACAACAACCCCGACCGACAGGCAAACTTCTCTCCCTCGTGTCTTGCCGAGTGTGTGCCGCGTGTGTTTGTTTTGGTTTTGTGTTTTCGGTTTGTCTGGTTTGAAGTCTGTGGTGGTGCTGAGACCGTCACAGAACAGGCATGTGGGGAGGGGGAGGGTCGTGTGGTCATGACTAACCCTTGCTAACCTTCCTCTGCTCTCCATGGCTCGCTCTCACATCGCCTCTCCCCTCCATGCCCCTGCTCATCGGCTGTGAACAGTCTCCACCATAGCTCCTGAGTGGCGTCCGGATGTCTCCTGGTGGGGCTTCTTGCCTTGCCACACGGGGAGGCGGGGGAGCCCTCCCAGGGCACTGGACAGCTTGCATGCGTCCGTCAGGGCTCCATCTCACCTGGGCACGTGGGCACACTGTGCAGAGACTCTCCCAGAGGAATGCATGGCACTAAGCCGGGCTGCTCCATTGGGTTGGGTGAGGAGAGCTGGCAATGACGTGCACTCCCCAGGGCCAGGGAGGCGCTGCAGGCCAGGAGGGAAACCTGTCCATCCAAGCAGGGCTCAGGGACAGGGCTCCCCTGGGGCAGCAGAGCTGCAAGGTGCCAGGGGCGGGACACAGACACTAACCTCTGCTTGTGTGACTGGGACGCAGCTCTGCCTCTCCAGACGGTGGCTTGGGCATTGTGTGTGCAGCACAGAGTAAAGAGCCCGGGAGGAGAATGTAGGCAGCCTGATGACGTGAGGAGACATCAGAGAGAGAGACTCTTCCAGGGGTTTCTGCACTCAGCCTTCACTGAGACGGAGCATCCAGTTACATGGCATCAAATGAGAGGGGCTGGAAGATTGCTTACTCCAAAGCTGCCAACCTGGGGCCCATGGATGGACTTCGTGATGTTCACCAACACCTTGAAACTCGATGTAGATCCTTTCAGAAAGGGTTTGTGACCCAGAAACTTGTCACCCTTGGAGCCTTAAGCAGGGCCACACTGGTGTCAAGCTGGCTGGTGCTTCAAGGAGAAGAGTTTTTTCCCTCCTCGGTGGCTCCTTGCACCACAAAGTCCTTCCTTCCATCCAGCCTCTCACTGCAGTCGGGCCACTGCCGAGGGAGGTGGGGGCGGGCAGGGGCACCATGGCATACCTGCACCACACCAGCACCGGAAAATGTGGTTGGGGTGGATCAGAGCAGAGTGCCAGGCCTGGGGTGCTTCCCTGCCTCTGGTGGGAAGCCTATAGGGCCCCCCTCCCCCAGCAGGCACATGCCATGCACATCATGCAGGACCTGCCGGGACCATATTGGGCAAGAGGCCGAGGCAGACACAGGTGGAGGAAGGGGGCACCTTCCTAGTGACTAAGCGTGAGCATTAGTGACCACAGAGGGGCAGGGCCGTAGCTCAGGGAAACCGAACTCCTGATCAACACGGGTGTCGCTTCAAACGCTGCTGGACAAAGTGCCAGGTAGACATTCCATTTACTGCCCTGAGGCCTAGAAAGTAGCCCGTGCTCGATAGATAGAGAATGGGGAGGGGAACAGAATCCTCACACCAGGCCAAATCAATCGGAGACTTGCTGAAAGGAACGCATCGGGCAAGGGGGTCAGGGAGCCTGAGGGGACACACCAGGCGGTGAGGAGTAGGCAGCCACCACTGACCAGGGCATTCACGGAGGGGCAGGTGGGGAAGAGCAGGCCTCAGAGAGACCCTGGGGGTAGGTGCAGTGCCTGGGGCCAGTCATTTGTGCCCTGTGCCCATGTGCTGTAGGCAAACTCGGCCTGGCGTGGGAGTGTTCCCGCAGCATCTTGCTCGGCTCTCTTTGCACATTTGCCCAGTGTGGTGGTTGCTGGCAGCCCAGTGGATGGCGGCCCCGCCTGACCGCCCTTCTCTCTGCAGGCATGGGCAAGAAGGACGACCCCAAGCTGATGCAGGAGTGGTTCAAGTTGGTGCAGGAGAAAAACGCCATGGTGCGCTACGAGTCGGAGCTGATGATCTTGTAAGGGGTCTGCCTGTCACAGAAGGGGCGTTGGCCCTGACTGGTTTGGTGGGGTGAGGGGGCTTGGGCCGCAAGTCACCGCCCTTTGTTGTCTCCCCGCCCCCGCCCCCGCCCCCTCAGTGCCCGCGAGCTGGAACTGGAAGACCGGCAGAGCCGATTGCAGCAGGAACTGCGGGAGCGGATGGCGGTGGAAGGTACGCGGAAGAGGGTGCTGGGTGTGGGGGCCTCTCCCCGACCCTCCAGCCCGTGTCAGCATCTTCGCTCCCCACAGATCACCTGAAGACGGAGGGCGAGCTGTCCGAGGAGAAGAAGATCCTGAACGAGATGCTGGAGGTGGTGGAGCAGAGGGACTCCCTGGTGGCCCTGCTGGAGGAGCAGCGGCTCCGAGAGAAGGAGGAGGACAAGGATCTGGAGGCCGTCATGCTGTCCAAGGGCTTCAGCCTGAACTGGTCCTGAGTGCTGCGCGCCTGTGGCTACTCGTTTGCCGGCTTCCGCCCATCCGGCCTGGCTGCCCGGTTCTCCAAGCCCCTGGGATTCCAGCATCAGAGAAGGCCCGGTACTTCCCCAGAGTTTGCGCTCGGATGTCCATGTGCCTCTGGAGAAGCGAGGGCGGAACCCTCAGTGGATACGCCTCGCCTGGGCCTCTCAGCCTCGTGCGGGGAGAGGCGGGGAGCGTGCGCCGGACCTAGGCGGACGAACCACACACTCGGACGCAAAGCCACCGCCGCACGGGTCCCCTGAAGCGCCACCAAAGAAACGGAAGCAGCCCTATCCTGAGGGAGCTGGGCCTGACCGCCCAGGGTGACGCCCCCTGCCTTGAAGGGGGAGCAGAGGGCAGGGTGCCCAGGTTCATTATGCAAGTGAGGGGCAGGAAGGAGGGGCTTATGCCCGCACCGCACCGCCACTGGACCCGGCGTGGCACGCCCGGCATCCCTGGTGGTGGCCCAAGGCCTGTGTACTGCTGTGTTGTGCTTTTAATTCACACCATGTCGACACTGGAAAATTCTGACTTTGGGTGGGGGCGGGTCAGGCCCTGCATTTCAAAGACACCCCACCTCCCCCCGCCCTGGCCATGCTTCACGCCACGTTGGGCAGGGGTTCCTCTTTCTCTGGCGGTTTTTCCTGTGTTTGCACCTTGAAATGAAGCTGATGGCCTGACCACGTCCTCAGCCGCTTCGGACCCTTTTTATCAATTAACTTATTTTTTTTTAATACTTGAAGAGAAGCAGTTTCATTTTTATATCTTTACTAGAGACACTGATCGCCTGGCCCCGGGCTGTAGGAGTGAGGGAGGTTCGTGTCCCTGTTCTGTCCTGGGGGGGAGGGGGGCTGACCCAAGACTGAGCGTGCGTTCAACCCGTGCCCCTATTTATTATTCTCCTCCCTCGCGTTACCCACCTGGGGGTCGCTCACAGCTTTTGTGGACATCGCGCCCACCCCCCTCCTCCTCCGTCCCACACCGTGCCCGCCAGACGTGGATCTCTGGGCCGCTCACCTGCCGAGAACACGCTTCAGCCGCGGTGGGGGCCGAGCCAAAAGGCAGAGGTGTGGCTTTTGCCTCCCTGTGGGAACCCCGGCAGGAGCCCACTTCTGCTTTCCGGTGCCTCGCTTGTGGGTAAGGCCTCATCTGGATTGACAGGACTTGGGTGAGACCTCATAATCGGCCTGGTTGGTGGCCATCCTTCGTCCTAGTCTAAAGTGAGACCAGGCAGCCGTGCCCGTGTTGGAGCAGACGGGGGATTGACATTGGTATCACACAAACAAGCAAAGCCAGCCCTCTCTTGCCAAGGTGATTGCAGCCGTCATGGGGGCCAGCGTCCAACTTTTAGTTCGTTCCTTAAACCAAACTCCGCTCACTTCTCACGGATCAGCCAGAACCGGACTGTGTAGCACTCACCCCCTGAGGGAAACCATCGGGGGTCTGCTGTCGGCCAGCTATTGTCAGCAAGTGGCTAGCCCACGGGAGGATCCCCACCAGGACCAGACCAGCTGGCCAGCGGGGAGCAGGCTCCTGGTGGGAGGGGCCGTTATGGAGGGAGCCAAGGCAGCCCTGGAGCCTCCCAAGGGCAGGGTCCGCCGGGGTCCACGCGGACCTGGGCATTTCCACGGGAACCATACTGTGCCTCCACTTGAACACCAACGACAGAGGAGCAACAAGTCTGCGTGTTCTTCACCTTCAAAAGCTGCCGCCTCTCCTGTGAACGCCCAGGAGACATGCTGCTAAGCAGACATCGCAGACTCTGGCTTCTGCACTTCTGATTTCTGACAAGGCAGTCTCCATTTTTACTTTTTCTTAAAAAAAAGAAGAAAACAAAGGTGGGGTGGGAGGTATGGTTATAGATTCCATCTTCATCTCCCAGTCTTCCAATAAAATTGGGCTGGGGTGGACATCGTTGTGTGTGTGGCCTTTTCCCTAGCCTTGCCACCCCGGAGACACGCTGTGGCCAGTCAAGCCTCGTTGGGAGAGCTGCCAAGTTTCCCGGAGCTCCTCCCTGGCCCCTAAACAAGGAAGCAGTCCACAAGTTACTGATGACGGGTGATGGGCTGTCAGGGCCCTGTCTGCCCCTGACTGCTGCCAAACTCCACCTGAGCGTGTGGTAGCCTCAGGTGCCAAGTAGATCCCTTGTTTTTGACCCACGCCCCTTTTGTAGCCACTGGTTTGCAGTTGACCATAGAACTCGGTGACATGCTGCATGAAACACTTCCTAACTCTGAAAATGCACGCACCTTCCCCAGGCAAGTTCTCTTCCCAAGAGCCACGCCCTCTAGAAAGGCTTGGGGGCTGGGGGGAGTGTCCATCCAGGTATTCTGTATATAAATACGGGGGGTGGGGGGGGGGGGGGGGTGTCTGTATACACACACATCTACATAAAGAGTGCCAGCATTGTTTGGAGTGAGCCCAAAC